CTGTTCAACATCTTCATCAGTGACTTGGACAAGGGGGTAAAAAGCACCCTGTTCAAATTTGCTGATGGTACTAAGATGTGGGGGGATGTAGGGAGGAATAGGCTGCAATCAGACCTAGACAGGTTACAGGGGTGGGCAGATGAGAATAGGATGGGATTCAACACTGGCAAGTGCAAGGTGCTGCACCCGGGGAGGAAGAACCAGCAGCACACCTACAGGCTGGGGAACTCCCTTCTCATTAGTGCAGAGGCAGAAAAGGATCTTGGAGTCATTATTGATGCCAAAATGAACATGGGCAGGCAGTGTGGGGACACAGTCAGGAAGGCCCACCGTATCTCGTCATGCATCCCCAGATGCATCTTAAGCAGATCCAAGGAGATGATCCTCCCCCTCTATGTGACACTGGTCAGGCCACAGCTGGAGTACTGCATCCAGTTCTGGGTGCTGCGCTTCAGGAGGGACGTGGACAACATGGAGAGGGTGCAGAGGAGGGCCATTCGCGTGATCAGGGGGCATCAAGGCAGGCCCTACAAGGCGAGGCTACTGGACCTAAACCTGTTCAGCATCCACAAGAGAAGGGGATCTGGTGGCCATCTATAAACTTATCAGGGGGACCAGCAGAGAACAGGAGAGTCCCTGTTCCCCTGAGCACTACCCGGGAGTAACAACGAATAACGGTCACAAGCTGGCAGAGGGTAGATTCAAGCTAGACATCAGGAAGCGCTACTTCACAGTTAGGGCAGCTAGGATCTGGAACCAACTTTCAAGGGAAGTGGTGCTCACCCTTATCCTGGGGGGTCTTCAGAAGGAGGCTAGATAATCACCTAACCGGGGTCGTTTGACCTCCGCATTCTTTGCTGCCCATGGCAGGGGATCAGACTTGATGATCTGCTCAGGTCCCTTCCAAACCTAGAAACTATGAAACAGCTTTAAAAGTTTTTTCTACATACCTTGAGATAGCAGGTACAGCTCGTAATCAGTACAATACTGGGGTGAATGGAGCGAACCCAGGTCTGTCGGGGAGTGCAGTGGGCCCCTCCCTATGCCCCCGCCCCAGCCTGGCAATCAGCTGCAGTGTGATTGCAGTGTGACCCCAGGAGCCCCCCCATTCTTCTGTGGGACGCTCCATCCACCTCAGCACTGCAGCGGTCACAAGCTCCTGCTACCCAGAGGTATGAAGAAAAAACATTAAACCTGTCTTTATGTCCAAATCACCCCGAATCAATTCGGAGAGATTCGCCTGATTTGATTCAGATTTGGAGATTCAGCCACTGAATCAGGCCGAATGCCCACTGAATCAAATCAGGGACCAAATCTCCACACAGCCCTAGTAGGCAATGTAACCCACTTGGATATCTCCCAAGAGCATCCCCATGCTGTCTCAGAAGAGCCTGAGAATGGGACTGGGGTTTGCATTTTGGACCTATCTAAGTTCTCTCTAGTGCCAAACAGCTTGGGATTCGGCCTATGCAGGCCAGGAATGACTGCTTGGGCCTTGCTTTTTTGGTGGCAATCCCAGGCTCAGCAGAAACCTAGTACTGGCCTTAGTCAAAGGTCATGGGGCCAGGACAGCAGCCAAGTAAAAAACCTAGCTCTATAATTCAGTGCATTTACTGGGAGTACAGAGTTCAGGTTTAAGGTCCATTCTGTCAGAATTATTTATCTGTAATGTAAAATGCACGGAAAGGCCTGGCAGCCAAACTGAAAGTGGCTGGCCCTCTTGCTGGGTGAGAACCACGCTCTGCAAATTATTACTGGATCGTGTCCTTCTGGGAATGCTGGTGCTACTCCTCCTTGACCCTGAATCCTAGTGGGGAGAAGGTAGGACCTAGGCACCTGGCTGCTCAGACTGGGAACTTCGAAGCACGCATACAATGTAGAGACCAAGGGAGCTTGGAAAGTTCCCAGGATGTTTAAGGTGCCTCCAGGGTTAGAGAGTTGCTGACCTGGGGGGATAGGCGTGGTCTGAATTGTTGATTTGGACTTAGATGCCTAAAGCCTGCCTGCATCCCATTTTAACCACCTATTGTCCTCTTCTGGATGTGACCTATGTGGCAATGATGAAGGGATTAATTCAGATCCCAATGAAACTAATGGAAAAATTCTAATGAAAAATGTCTTAAATGGTCTTCTTCATCCTTTTTTACTGTTCAGCATCATTGCCCATGCAGAAATATGACAAGAGTGCTCTCACATACCTGTTCCAAGGAATATAACATCATATTGACCGTCTTCTGCCATAACATGATCCACCACAATCTGTGTCAGTCGGTAGTCGACGTTGATCCTCGTAAATACAGGTCCTCCAGTCACCGGGTAAACTGACTTGTACATCAGTGGATGACGTCTGATAAAACTAATGACGTCATCTGGAAAATCTCGGGTAGATTTTATAAGTGGGTCATAGGTTTTGCTTGGACACTGAACAAAAGAGAGAGAACAAGGAGAGGATATTAGGAAAGAATATAGATTAATCTGCAGGATTCGCTTGCAGGTTAGGAAAGTTTTAAATGAAAAATCACCGGGCTCAACTGGAAGCAGAGTTTGACACACAAGATTCTGTCCAATTTTCACTGAAGTCTGTTCAGTCCTTTGCAAAAACAGGCCACTTATTCAAGTGCCTAACTATGGCATTAGGATGCAACCTTTTATTTTTTTTTCTAAACATCCTGGATGCTGTGACATTAATTAACATATCTCTAAACAAACACAATGATGCACAGAATAGTTGCTATAAAATCAGGATTGTCTGGTTGTAAATCCTGATTGCCAGAGGTCAGGTGATTTTGGCCTTTTACTGGAAAAAGCTCCAACTGGTTTTCTAGTGTAAAGATGTACTTTCGACATCCAACAACTCTGTATTTTGTTCTATGTATCCCTTCTCTCCTATGAACTGCTCTTGGGCTGCTAAAACTGACTTAAGTTTTATTTATTCCATCCCACTCATTTACAGGGTGCATCTACATGGGATGCCCACTGCGCAGTTGTTACTGCACAGTCATTTAGTACTTGCATGACCAAGTACTAAATGCCCGTGTAGTAAACGGCATTACTGCGCAGTAGCGTCCTGGCACGGTTGCTTGGTGATGCTGACTGCGCAGTAGCTCGTTACTACTGTGGAATAGCTCGTTACTACTAGGCAGTAGCATCGCATTGCATCACAGTTTATGCCCAGCAACGCTACTGTGCAGTAGTAATGACCAACTGTGCAGTAAGCAGCTCATCTAGAAGCACCCACAGAGTTATAAATCATATTTTTTGTCCAACTCTCTCTCTCACATACACACATGGTGTAATTGCTGCTGATGATTTTCCCCCACACAATCTAGCAGTCCTCTCTCAGGAAGAACTTCAAATGAGTTCAGTGAGAGCTCTGAGTGCCAGCCACTTGCTGGAATTGCATAATAAGGGTTAGCAGCATATGTTAGCAATTAGTAATAAGGGTCTATCTAGTAGGCATTTTGCCTCATTGCAAAACTCTTCTAATGAAACTAATTTCAAGCTACCTCTCTGCCTCTAGTTTAAAGTTACTTTAGTAAATACATGCTAAAACCATTACTGGAAGTGTCCTGTTCTCTCCTCCATCTGCATAGAGCATGAGGTCAGGTCATACGGTTGTATCACTAGCACTAAGCACGGTGTTCAGGAATACTGTACTGTAATTGTACATGTCAGCAGGATGCATGTTGTTCATGACACATTTTAAAATTCTTTCCAACAGGCATTAGGATAATCAAGAGTGCACAGTCTTCATCCATAAATGATCAAGTAATACGAGGAAGAAAAATCTCCAAACTGTCTGACTTTCATTATTGTTGTAACTCTTACCAGTGTTAAAAGTAGAAGTCCCGGGGGGGGGGGGGG